CCCCCCCCCTCATGGTTGCTTTCCCCGCACCGGCCCTGCTATTCTGCGGGTGGTGGGGTTGTTTACGTGGGTTGTTTAGCCCCCCCTTCGTCTCCCTGTGGTGTGGGGTGGGGTGTGGGTTTTCGGGTTTAGTGTTTAACCATCTTCCCCCCTCCCTGTGGTGTGGTGGTGGGTGGTGGGTGTTTTGGTGGGGTTGTTTAGGGTTTAGGTGTATAGTTTTGCAAGGGTTGAGGGTCAGCAGCTGGGCGCGGCGCAGACCAAAACCGTGGCCCATCCAGGTGAGTCCCGCCACTTTGGACACGCGAGTTGCATAGCTTCAAAAGTCACAACACTCACNNCCCAGGTTCGGGGGGCCCATCCCTGTGACTGTTGGCACTTTTGCGACCAAAGTGATGACCCTCACGAGGATTTCGGGTGTACACCATGGGGTACCGACCTGCGACACGAGCCCATGTATTATTCTGTGTCGCAGTCAGACTGGCTTGGGCAAGATGCCGGCGCTGAGCTGGTGTGGTGGGAGCTGTTCCGCGGTCATGCACGCTCTCCCAAAGTCGACCCGTTTCGTCAGCTTACGGGGTGCTTAGGTTTTGTTGCCGCGCAGCAAGCATGGGTTCGAAGTTACACAATGCAGCGTTCACTGTTAGAGCCGCTGTCTCTTTATCGACATCAGTATTCTGGTGTGGCTAGCTATGGAGGAATTGAGGTGGAGTGGCTTGGAACATCCTGGGTATGCTGAAAGGAAACTTGCAGCTTTCGGGTTTGCGACGGAAGATCCAAGTGGAGAGGAAGGGCCTCACCAGTCCAATCAACATGATGATGAGTGCTTGCTTGGACGGTGCAGAGGCAGAGTTGCTAAAGGCTTTAGAGTCTACTTTAGAGCGACTGTGACTGCCTCACATGTGTAGTCTCTTGGCTTGAGCCTTCGGCCCTATGAGCGACCTCGGAGTGCAGAGCTTGAAGTTGAGTTTGCCCGCAATGACTGAAGAGGACTTCGAGACTGTCTTGGAGGCCGAGCATCAAAGGATTGACGAGGCACGCCCGCATTACGTCTTCACCATCGCCATGTCAATGCGCATGTTTCGTGCACTGGCAGACATTTTTCTTCCGCCGTGCCAGGACCTCGACCGTGAGACGCAAGTTACGCTGGCAAAGATAGAGGCTCTTGCCATCGTGGCAGTGAACCTTGTTCGATGTGCTCTTCGATGTGCTCCCTGCCTAGCATGGAGGAAAGTGTCTTGCGAGGCCCAGGAGAAAGATCTCAAGGAAAGAGTTCAACTCCGAGCAAAGGCGGCGCAGACGCAATGGCTTGCAAGCAGCGTTGGACGAGCCAGTTGATCAATCCAGGTGGCAGAGACGAAGGACCCCGCGAAGGTGCAGCAGTTGCGCACCGTTGCAGAGCCCAAGGCTAAGCACACTCAGGCAGCCCGTAGCGCAAGTTCTCGGAACCCTGGTCGATACCTCTTTACCCAGGTCGGTCACGCTGGCTGCAGACACAGCTCGGAACAAGAGGCAGGCTGCGAAGGCACGATGCTGGCAGCGTTTGGGAGCTGCTGTCGATCGGATTGCTCAGAGCATGCTGAACAAGGCTGCCCGGCGCAATATTGCTCGCCAGAAGGCATGGCAAGCTTTGGATCCTGCCTGGGAGCTTGGACTCTACAATTTTCTACGTGTCAGGTGGCGGCACGGAAGCAAGCCCTGCAAAAGGCACTGGGTCCCGATCCCACAGAGGCCGCCAGCCGCGTCATTGCCTGAGCCACCTTGCCCACACCAATGCGACATGGAACCGTTTGGGTGACATAAGGAGTTGCTACGGATGCAGCTTCCTAGCCAAGAGGCCGGAACATCACAAGACTTTGTGCTCTTGTGAGTAGCATGCGCCTGGAGTGAGGCTTTTCCGAGCATGTCGCCACAAGAAGCTTTGGCGGAGGCTGCTGAATGCTCGTAAGGTGCTAGAGCTGCATGACTCCTGGCCGTCAGGTTTCCGCTACTGCAGCCACCTGCTTTCGGTCCCTCCAAGTCGTGGCCTTGCGACCGCCGGACGAGACTGTCAGGCAAAGTCCGTTTGCGAGTCAGCATTCGGTGACGCATGGTTTTCTTCTAGGATGCCCCTGCTGTAATGCCTGATGCTGATGATGGCTGATGACAGCGGGCAGAGTTGAGCTAATGATGCTTACCACGAGGGCGTTTCGATTGTGGTGACCTGGTGCTTCTGTTGCAGGTTTGATCCGGACAATCCCGCCAGTGCAGCTCGGCATCGTCTTGCTGTGTTGGTAGGACGGTGGCCAAGATGTGGAGTTAGTTGGAAAGTCCGAAAGTTCGTCATCAAGGCCCAACCTTCAAAGGACCTGGCGCAGCAGCCTCAGGGTACTTGACGATGACAGTTGAAAGTCATATACCTCGCAATTGTCAGGTTTGCAACTGCTGCAGCTCTGCCTGAGCTAAAATCGTGCCTTGAATCTTTGCGGAAGCGTCTCCAAGAGGAGAAAGATAGCCCGCCATGCGCTCAGAATTGACTCTGCACAGCATTGGGACATCGCTGTTGGCAAGGCCGCAAGTCGATCCGGCTCTTCGATCGATCGCGACTGACGAAGACAAGAAGCTCGGCTTGCGATTGAGCACTTGTTCTGGCAGAACCGTTCGGTTGCTCCAGGGTATCTCTGTGAGGCTTGGTAGGCTTATGGGGCACCAGAGATCAACACGTAGACTGCTCACATGCTTGCCTGCCCACTCTGAGTCGCCAAAGCTGACCCTTTGCAGAGCTGCCTCATCATTTCTTTTCAACTGGATGGTCCCGCGCCGGGAAGACCGTTGGTGGCAGAGAGTCTTTCAACACGTTGCAATCGCCCGAAGGTAACACTCAACGTACAGGAAGTACAGGTGCCGTTGTCTGTGTCTCGTTTGCTGCTTTACTTCTTCCTTCTTAACTCTGAGGATGGATACGGTTCACGCGTCGTCGTTCTGACTTGCTCGGAGTGTTGTTGGGGCGGGGTGGAGTTGGCTTGCTTTCCGTGAACCTGGTAGGTTATGATACTGACATATGAAACGTGAAAGTGGGTCTGCGAAGCTTTTCGTTTGGCTTGCGAACAGCACAAGCGCAGCTAACCAGGATGAGCAAAGATGACAAGCGCGACTTCATCATGTTTGAAGGCGAGGGCCACTCAAATGTTATTTGTTACAGCTGCAGCGTCCTTGGCTGATGTTTCCTTGACAGTATCTCGCCGCAGGCCAGCAGGAGTACGACTGGGAAAGGAGCATCAACATCAAGATGAAGGAGCAGTATGTGACAACATCTGTTAGTTGTGTCGCAAAACGGCACCCCGGGCCATGTGCTACATGATTTGGACAATGCGAGCTTCGACACCTCGCCTCCATTCAGGAGCAGATGCGACGGCGCGATGTTCACACGAAGGAGAGCCTGGAAAGGGTTAGTCAGGCCCTCCATAGACGATGGCGCAGACAACGGGACAGGCTCGCTTTTCCCTGCTGGGCACACACTCTCGCCGCCAAGCTACAAAGCTCGTTCGGCCAGGGACAAGGCTCATGCCATGGAGCGGATGGCTGCTCTTCACAAGGTCATGAACGACACAGAGGCCACAATCTGAGAGCCGAAAGCAAGTGTGCAAAGCCGTCCCCTTTGAAGGAAGAGCTGGACAAGATGCGGAAAGAACAAGCGGAAGCCACGGAGAAAGAGGCTAGTGTACAGGGATGCTGAAACGGAGTGCCCCCATCGGCGGGACCTTCCTCGCGAGTTGATTGTGTTCTTCGGTGGGAACCCTTGTGCAGGAGTTTCTGTCGACATAGTGAAACAACCCACTACTGTACCCGATCCCAATGCTTAGCCCAGTTGCGAGATGTCTATGTGAAGTGAGGTTGAAGTTTTAGAAAGTGAAAGACGGCGTCTCCAAGAACAAACGCGAGTTTTGATGCGGCGATCACAGAACCGTTCGGACTTGCAGAGGCAATTTTCATATGGTATGGCGGCACAGTCGCTGCCAAGCCCGGGCAGCTCAGGTCTGCCGCGCTCGTGGTCCGCCAAGAAAAGGCGCGCATAAACAAGGCCTGGCCGGCGCATGCAGGGTTTCCTCAGAGAGGGTCGGAAGGATTTGACCCTTGGCATCAGAAGGCGTGGTATGCTGAGCCGCGGGAGAAGAAGGCCTTGACTTTCCAGCCCCTTGGATTCCTGAGCCAGTGTGCTTGATGTTATAGCGCCCTCTCAGCCTGAGATACGCTTCCAGTGCGCATGTGCGAAACGTTGAAGCTAATTCTGAATCTTTGGGGCGCGTGCAGATGAACCTCCGAGGTCCTTGAAGATCATTCGGAGACTTCATGCTGATATGATCAACTTCCCAGTCACAGCGGAGCTGGGGCCTTACATGGTTCATCAGGGTTCAGGGCCATGCTGCAAACACTGTGCACAGTTACCATGCCGTAAGGTGATGTAAGGTGTGTACATGATATAGACTGGCGTACATAAACAGATTATGCGTGCATGGATGGACGGGATGTATGCATTGATGTAATGTAAATGTAATGTAACGACATGCCATGTCTGCAAGGTACTGTAATGAAATGTAGTTGTTTTATGAGTATGTGCCTGTACCAGTACTAGTATACGTAAACGTATGTCATGTACGTTTGAATGTTGGCCTGTACGTACTTATGTACGTATGTATGTATGTACGTATGTATGTCTGTGTATGTATGTATGTATGTATGTATGTATGTACGGGGCGTGCTATCCAAGGTACACTCGCGTTTTGCGTTCAAGACACACTCGGAAAAAAACCCAAGGTGCACACGCATGTCGCTTCCGTACCGTAGAAATCGAGCTGCCGTGCCCCTGCCGAGTCTGTTCGGGCCCCTGGCCATGCACGCGCACGTCGCTTCCGCACTGTAGAAATCGAGCTGCCGTGCCGCTGCCCGAGTCTGCTTGCGCCCCTTGCCGTGCACTCGCACGTCGCTTCCGCACCGCAAAACATCAGGCTGCCGTGCCCCGGTCTGTTCCTGCCCTTGTCATGCCCCTGCCCCTGCCCTTGTTGACTCACTGAAAGCCCCACCTCCCCCAGGCACACTTGACTGCAGGTTTGTTCCACGTGGCTGCATAAGGAGTGAATCCAGTGAGAAGCTGGTTCCCAACACGAAAAAACCCTACGGAGTGAAATCAGCAGGATCTTGGGGAAAACCCGAAGGAGTGAATCCAGCAGGAACCTTTTCCCCGAGACGAAAATCCGAAGGAGCGAATCCAGCGAGAGCCTTCTGCCCAACAAGGAAATCCGGCAAAATCCAGAACCGCGAACCTTAAACCCTAAACCCTCGATTCAAAGACGAAAACCCTGAGGAGTGAATCCAGCAGGAACCTTTTCCCCAAGACGGAAACCTGTTGCCTAACATGCGAAAACCCTAAGGAATGAATCCAGCAGAATCCTTTTGCCCAAGACGAGAACCCTAAGGAGTAAATCCGACGAGAATCTTTTGCCCAACAGGGAAACCCTTGAGGAAAACTTTGAACTCTGGAGCCGGGCAGGGGCACCGTAGCCGCATTTTTACAGCACGTAAGGGACCCTGAGTGCGCCCCGGATTCCAAAGAGGTGTGAGTGCGCCTTGGATTCAAAACCGAGTGCGCCTTGGATGTGCTGGCCGTTCGTACGTAGGTATGTATGTATGTATGTATGCATGCATGCATGTATCATCAGAGCAATGCCCCATACGAGCATCCACGGCAACGTAGGTAAGGCTGCTAACATTACAACTTCGTTGCAGAATGAGAGCCAGAACAACAGGGGACTACCGTAGCTTTTCGCTGCGGTCCTGTTGCATTTCCAGCAAGACCGGCGTAGCGTGCCCATGATGCCTTCTCCGCTGGCACCAAGGTTTAAGCAGAAGCACTCTGTGCTGCTGTGCCCCGGTGACGGTTCGTATGTATCAGGCAGAAGCAGGTATGAAGATCTGTCTGTGGTGGCATGGGAGGTCAGGTACGGAAACTAATTGAAGGCACTATACCGTGCCATGGACGTATGAGCAAAGGCATCAAAGGCTAGGTCGGGGGTTCACGGCTCGTTGCATCGACAGGCTTCAACATGCGCTGTTCTGAGGTACTCGCTCCGCATGCTGGAAGGTCGCCTAAGAAAGGACTGCCCTTATGCGAAAGATACGGACATCCAAGAGGCGGATTTGGAGTCTAATGACAGCATCTGCAAGCTGTACAGCTCCGATGATGTGCAGGGGCCCTTGGAAGAAACGCCCGAGCTTAAGAAGCAGATGGAGGAGGCGCTTCATGGCGGATAGCGCTTCCTGTCGGTAGATCGGTGCAGAAGTACGTGCGCTGCCCTTCTCTCTCTGTCTCTCTTGTTTGCGCTGTCGCACAGGCAGAGAATGCCTTCGAAGATCAGCTCAGCGCCGACATCGATGAAATCCGCGATGCGAATCGCGAAAAGGCTTGGTTCAGTTTTGTTTCTGCCACCTGATCTTGACATTTCCGTGCCTTGGGCATGGTTCAGCGCAGGTGCAACGGGCCATGGCACGCGAAGCTGCACTGCGGCGCCGTGCTGCAGAGGCCGCAGATCAAACCACAATGCTCATTAAGATGTGCGATAGTCTCAGATTGGCTTGTGTTTGGTGGGCCAAATGCATCGAGAAATGGATTTGGGATGATTTGGGGAAAGGCTTTCTTTGGCATGACTCGCAAATGGGGCGGTTGGGATGTGTATGCTGGTGTTGCAATGTCTCCTACCACTGCATTGTCCAGTACGAAGGTCGAACTCGCACCAGCTCTGGATCAAGCCGCTACAGCACTGCAGCGCACCTGGAATGTCCTTACTGAGCCCTACTGCAGACACTCTGACCTTTCACCGTCGCCGTGAAACTTGCCGAAGGTCGCGCTCGGAGCGGGCTGCACGTCGGGCGGAGATCGCCGAGGACCTCCTGCGACCTCTGGGAATGCTGGCATCACAGCTCGGCGGTGAGGCTCGCAGAAAGCTTTTCCAAACACCCCCAACAAAAGGGCTGAGCCCACCTGCCAGGCCTTCCGGCATGCTCAGCTCGAGAGCGGGACGCACGAGCCCGCCAGCTTCAATCCAAAGAGGAAGCGCTTGGAGGCCGGTGCCGGGCAGTGTGCGGCATCGACTCGGCGACGAGAGGGTTTTGCGTGAGGCCTCTCTCGCCTCGACCTTGAAAGTCCTGGAGGAAGTCCTTCCGCACCTAAATGCGGAGGAGGCACTGGCACCTGCGAGCTTGTGGCATCGGAGTGAGAAGGCCCGATCTGAGGTGCAAAAGGTTGCGGCTGCACCTTCCTCCCTGGGCAAAGAACCAGAGTGGGAGGCGAGCGCTGCCCTGATTGACACTGACCACCTGCTTGCACCGTGACTCTTAGTCTTGATCGCTTCGATCAAGAAATGGTGCCATGGAGGACGCGCTGGAAGAAGCGAGAGCAAGGTGGTCAGCATTTTGTCATGGGGCCCAGAGCACGTTCAAATCAAGCAGCTTTGTGCTCGCGACCTCTTCGCCACGTCGGTCTTAGCTATTCAATCCAAACTGCGAGGTGAACGGCACCCTGATAGTGTGCCCGATGAGCAAGACACGCCACGCGGAGAGAAGACGGTTTCGTCGCATCAGAGCTGCACTGTGGCATCTGATTGAGCTGCTTGGGCATGTTTGTGGGGCTTCTGAATCCAGGCATGCTTCGGTTGTGGGCAGATTAGACATGGATGACCTCGAGGCCTGTGCTCTTTGCCAGACCAAAGCTTATTCTGAATCAGTGCTGACTCTAGTGCTGACCTCCCTCGAGCAAAGCGCGAGGGAGGTCAGGTTGTTGGACTCAAGCTTAAGGCTCTCGGGCGGGAGTTAAGGGCTCATTGGTTGAGGACAAAAATGGGGTTGCCGACTGAACATTTTTGAATATGAGTACATATGCATATGCAGCTGTACATTGCAAACGACCATACGCACAAGGTAATGCTGTGCATTTAGACCTAGCACTATGCATATGGTTGTGTATGCGGTTGTTGTGTGGACCTGCTGTTTTAAGTCGTGGTTGTTTGCGTTTGACGAGTGAATCTCGATGAAGCATGGCAGGAGCCCGAACCTTGCACCGTGAATGCAGCTAAAGCGAGACTTTCCAAAGCGGTCCGTTTGCAAGCACTTGACTTCAAAGCTTGACCCTTCGAGCGTGAGCACCGAAACCTTAAGCTCCAAGCTCTCCTTCTCTTCGACTTGGGCCCCTACTTGTCGCCTGGAAGCCATGCCTGCCTTGAGCGAGTGTGCGAGTCGAAACGCACTAAAGCAAAACCCCCGTTTCAGATGTGCTGACAAAAGCTCGCAATGTCGCGGAGGTCCTTTACCTGTTCGTTATGGTCTTGCAGTTGTTTGTGCTTCCATCTGGCCAGACCAAGTGGACGGATGCCTCGCCTGCCCAGATCCTCCCAAACTCACTGGAAAAGCCTGCACTAGTACAGTTTTCACCCACGGAGCGTGCCACAAGCTCCTTCCAAACCCTCAACCCTGAATCCCAAGCCTCGCATCCGAAACCCTGACCTAGAAGTCACCCGAATGCCTCGCCCCAAGCTTCGTGGAGCATTAATGGTTGGTCAAGTATGTTCCATCCCAGCACCAACGATCAATGCATATGCAAAAATCGATGTCCGACAGGATGATGACTACGGTGGGGCAGCTGGAAATGTGCCTCGTCGGCGAGGAACGATGGGGTGACGTTTGGTTTGCAAGACACTGCTCAGGTGCCCGCCAAGAAGCTTCCGCCACCTCCTCCAAGAAAGATATCTGCAGCTGCGACCTCAAGCCTCAGCTCTCCGAGAGAGAGCGAGACGGACAGCCACAGAGCCATTTATCCTTCTGAAAGAGAGAGAGCGAGAGAGAAAGAGCGGACAGCGGAAGCGGCGGATGTTTTTCACTGAGGCGCCGGCTCGGCCACCCAGTGCCGGCAGCGGGCGGCCACCCTCGAGCCCTGTGCCACCTGTGCCAGGCTGCGGCGAAGACTTGCGCACGTTAAGCAAGGCTAAGAGACTGAGAGTCAGGGCTTTCCGCGATCCGCCACTTTTTTCGTGTTTTAGGATATTTCTCTGAGCCCGGCAGGTGCCAAGGCAAAGGCTGCTGCTCAACCGAGTGGTACAGGGGCATGGGGCTCGGGCAAACGGCTCGGTCGCGCGGCTCTTCTCCAGCGCGGAAACTGATGCAGGCTCAGGGTGCCAAGAAGGGCGCGGCCTTGCTGGAAAAGTTGGACGAGCTGTCTGCAACCATGGACCGTGGCTTGGCCATGCTTAACCTCACTTCAGCAGGAATTCGGCAATTCGGCGCATGAAAGGGACAACAGTGCCAAAGGCGTCTCCACGCCCAGGTACTCTCGGCAAAAGCTCTGCCCTGAAGACACCAGCTCCTGTCGGCGGCAGAAGCCTGAAGCCTCCAGGCCCTGAAAACGCAATGATGCACTTGCTCGTATACCCTGGCAGTCGCAGGCATTGGGAAAGGAGGAAAGAAGTGATCTGAAGTGAGGTTCGTAGAGGGTCAGACTACGCCAAAGATGCCAACTATCCGACCCGCTGTAGCAATAATTTTTGGGAGAATTCGACACCAGCCCGGAACGGCGGAAATTCTTGGGATGGAGCATTCGCTGCATCACCGCATCATGCTCACTCGTCGTGTGGAAGCACACTGCAATTCCTCTCCGTTCCTAATTCAGCATGTGCAACAATGGTCTCACTTGTCTCCCGGCTCATGGCCATGAGTGTGCACGAAGTCCAAGCCGCGCCAGGAGTGAGTTTCATAGTAGCATGTTTCATAGTCACAGTTTCGCCGTTGGCGAACTGCTGAGTCTCACCTGGGCAAGACCCAACTGGTCACCCGATGCCGATCTGAATCGTGTAATACCCAGCAGACCTAGCATCACTCGCATCCCTCAGTTTCGGCCGACATAGCACAGATTCGGTCTCACTGGTCGCGGGTGGGGTTAGATGAGATGCTCCCCCAAGAACCGTGACTCCTGCTAATGCTCGTGCCTCGTGAGTCGGGCAAAAAAGCTATCAGGCTGCACGCTGCAAGTCGCACCCGGAGTTCAGATGGCGGCTGCTGCGCGAAGCACAGGTTCATGTGTCATCTCGAATGCAGCGATCATCACCGAACACTGTCCTATCCCTTTATCGATCTTTCTGTTTACATTGCTCGAACTCACATGTTCTGCACCCGCTGTGTCCTAGCTGTCCTTGCGCTTATCATGTGGAGCGAAGCGCCTGCAGCATGATGGAGCCATGGTATCATCTGTGAAAATTGTCCGCAGGACATACCGCACGAAGCTCTGTGCACTTTGCACGACAGGAACTGGACAGAATGCTGCAGTCTTCCTCAACTGAGGCTACCTGCACCCTGACGGTTCGACATCGTGCCAGACCGTGCTTCAGTGTCCTCACCAGGCAACAGCACACTGCCCCAACTCATGTATGTCGGGACGGCTTGCTTGCAGGGATGCGGCATAGAACTTGAAGATTTCCAAGGAAGCCGACTGCACATGAGGCACCATGAGGCATGGATGACAATAGGCATAGGTGCAAGCTGGAGTTGTCCCGAGAATGCTTGAAGGACTCGTTTCCCACGCTTTGGAGCAGCACGACCTGAAGCTGCCGAGTTCAAAGAGGCCTCCAAAATTGACACATGACACATCGATGTGATTCCCTTCTGCGGTTGCCCAGCTGGACGGGCGAAAGCCCACAGACTATCAATAAGCTGCCGAGTGCGAGCCAGCCTCTGGACTGCACGCGGGCAGTAGTGTCGGTATGTGGCACAGACTGCCCGGAGCTGGAACGAGGAAGGTGACTCGATTGCGCCTTCCGGATGGTGAGATACGATTAGTCTGTGCGGGTCTCAGGCGACAAAAATACTCCAGTGCGATGAGGCCAACGTTAGGTGTCAAGGTCGTCATTTGAGCCATGGATTTTGGCTGTCGACACAAATCGAGCGTGAGCGTAGCTTGCATCTTTGGACACGACACGAGGTGCAAGAGAGAGCAGTGGAGCATTTAGAAGCATTTGCCGTAGGTGGCAGATGCATGAGTCGTGGATAGAACATGAAAGATGGAGCATGCAGCTTCAGCTGTTCCGCGGCGGCTGCCACGACAGTTGAGGCATGCTCACGGGGCAAGATTCAGCCAATCAAGGTTCACGCAGAAGCTGTTGTTAAAGTGCCACCACTTGATCCAGTATCTGTAATGTGGGACGAGATTCGCAGCATGCCGCTGGTGTGCTGTGGGACATTTTAAAAGAGAGGATATCTCGTCATCCTGACAGCACGCTCTGCCATTCGTTTCTGCACTTGTGCGACAGGATTGGGGCACTGCCATTGAGCAAGCCAATGCTGCTTACGAAGTCCAGAGGGCATTCGTTCAGAGCCTGGCGAGACACGTGGCTGTGGATCATGCGTGTAGCAGAGTCTTCTAGATTCTAGCATGCAGTCCAGACGTCCAACGTTCTTGACACACTAAGAATCTGGTGCTGCCCGAGAGAAGTTGGTGGAGGCCACATTAGTATCACTCACGGACTCTACCGTACGGCGCGTGGTGGAGAGTGGCAATGAATGTGTGTGTGTGTGTATGTTTGTTTGTATGTGTGTGTGTGTGCGCGGGTGTGGGTGTGTGGCTGTGTGTGTGTGTGCGCGCGTGCGAGTGTGGGTGTGTGGCTGTGTGGGTGGGTGGGTGGGTGTTGGTTGGTATGGGGGGGGCTGGGGTCCCATCGAAGTAAGCTGCAAAACCATACTAGTGCCTTCCTCGTCTTTGTGGCGGTAGTGTGTGGTCATAAGGCCCCAAATAAACACGCACGAGGATCCTAGCTTCGGGGTATAAGGAGGATGGTAGATTGTACTCGGAAAACTGTAGTAATCTAGCAACCCGCCTCGGCAGCGCCACTTCGACAGGTCCAGGCTTGTCGACCTTAGGTCCAGGCCTGGACAAAGGGATAGTAGATAAATGGCTTCTTTTGGGGCATACAGGCTAGTTACTTGTTACTGGTTCCTTGATGGTGAATGCTCTATTTGCCAACGAGTCACTGGTGGGCGCAAAACAAGAAACCGGCAGAGTTGACCCGAGAGAAGGTGTCAGAGAAGCTGCGGGGTTTTCTTATCGGATGAAGCAACACGCAATTCGGAACCTGGCCCTCTTCAACAAACTCTGCTCAAGAACTTGCACGGCTCGGCCACACCGTGCACCGCGAAGGGAAGCGGAAGTGGATTTGTGCAAGTCGTTCTTCACTTGTTGAATCGTGTTGATCTCCTGGGGCCGGCAGGCACATGATCTTCTAAAGAAGCTCAAGAAGGAACATGCAGATTTAGTCAAGGCTGCCAGCCTGTCTGTTGCGGCCTTATGCCAGTCTTTGAATTGCAATCTCCGCAGTCTTGTGCATGTCGCAGTTTTTCCCAGGGACAGCTTCCGCACTGCTTGAGGTGCCCTCCACAAGCAAACGAGGATTGGCATCCTATCCACCACCGATGTGCATTCCACGTGACGAGCTGGACTCGCGCTTCATTCTTACCTTCTCGCTTCCCTGCAGCAAGATTCCAAGCACTCGCGCTGCAGACCGTTCAAGTTTCAGTGGGCCTTTCGGCAGTGGGCCTTTCGGCATGCGACGGAGTGCCACTACCAATCACTACTACTTGCGTTTGCGTACTGCTTTGCGTCATGTCTGACCAGCCTTGAAATTTCATGAACATCATGGACCCAACGCTTTGACTCCCTGTGGGGCACTTCCGATTTGCCGAAATAGAGTTGGTTCTTGTGCATTCGTGTGATGAGTCAATGAGGGTTGGCCATTCCTGGACTGACGTATGTAGGCATTGCAGCACCGACACAGCGCAGCCCTAACGTGGTGTTCACCGCCGTTTGCCACGGGGGCGAACCGTCCATTATCAGATATATCAAGCCGCGCAGGAAGTTGGGATCCTTGCCTAGCACCTTTGGCAGGGCAAAACACGGTCCGTCATCTGCGCTCCAAGTGTTGTCTTAGACGCCATGACGATGCGGCTCGAGAAGGCTATCCGGCCTTTCCACGATGGGGCCCACATCTTCTCACAAAATCACTGCCTTCAGCCTATGGAGTCGAATATGTCGAATCATGAGAGAATCCTTGAAGTACCCCGGCCGATATTCAACAGAAGCACTACGCGTGCCCGACTACGAAGCGAACCCCAGACCCCGTTGGAGAATTCACCCGCCCCCAACAACTTTCAACGCTTTGCCGGCGAAAAGATCAACACAGACATGGTAATTCTTCAGGATGCAGTGTTTCCGCACAAGCCTTGCAAACGTTCCTCCACTGTACGTAGTGCGGCATTCCCAGTTACGACACAGAAGGGCACAAACTTCAAGCAAGGCTGGTTCGGTCGCATGACGCTGTTCTGCTGCGACGTTCATAGCTCATATTATCGAACAAACATCGCATGAAACAGCATCATGAGATGTATTTGCACTAGTGGTGATGTCTGTGCTGATGTAAGTCTGCCCTGGGATTCCCTGCCTGATCATGTGATCTGTTTTGGGTGGCCGTACTGCGAAAATTTGGGTTGGCATCTTAGGTTGGATGATGCCCATGGAGCCTGCAAGTTCATGGCTGAGAGCCTTGGCAGCCATGAGAGGAGGCAGGTTGCGTGATTTTTCCAATCCGGCGCAGCCATGCATCAGGTATGGGTTTGTGATCTTCCGCGACGTTCTCTCGGATGCAGAGTGCACGCGGACGAGGGATGAGATTTGGAGCTATCTCGAAGACAGCGTGCAGCTTTGCTTGAAGAGTCCAATCAGTACGTCCCCCATCGAATTTCTTTTTTACGTCGTTACGTGCCAGGCCGGGCTTCCAGCGTGCAGAGCCAACGACGTGGGGTGTCCTCTCGCACACGGACACTGGCCGATACTATGACGCGCAGCCCCTCTTAACATCTCTCGACTGTACATCGAAGTACATGCGTTGGCATGAGTCCACGGAATCCAGCCGCAAGAGGATTTGCTAGCTGCAGGTATGGATTGCCGCCAGATCCTGTCATAATTTCTCCACAGATACTGCGCAACCGCCAAAGCCGCACCAAAGCTTTGTCTGGATTCTTGTCGTGCGGTGCCGCTTCTCTGCGCTTCCAGCACCTGAGGCAATGTTATTCGTGCGTTTGAGGTTGTGCTGGGTGAAAGCATCCTGGTCAGTCCTGCAGCCGCAAAAAACATCGATTTGAACTGGTTGTCCAAAAGAGGGGGCTTGTAGCATTCAGCAGCTGCGAGGTCATGATCGGTGGTGCCTGTATCGTGCAACGCAAGCGGGCGGAATGCCAACCAAAAACAACCTCCACTTGGATCTACATCCATGGCGTTGCCTGGCTGCAGACCAGGATCTCCTGGAAAGCTTCTCTGTGCTTAATTAAAACCAGAGTGAACCTGCAGATGGCACAAGAAACATTGAGCGATTTCTCGGGTTCAGGCTATCTCCAAGGGGATACCAGGATTGAAGACCTGCGCTATCAGCAGGGTCACGAGCACGATTTTTCATTGGAGCACCTGGCTTGCACAAGCCTCAAAGCTGTACAGGCTGAATAAGATTGGATCCTCCAGCGCATCTAAGGATCCCGAGAGCTCGCGCATCTTGAAAGCAGTAGAGCCATTTTATCTGAGCATGTCGCCGCACTTGTGACGATCGCCTAGGCAGATGATGGGCCACATGTCCAAGGAGTCTTGAATCTCATCGAGAACCTGGAGGAAGATGGAGGCCGTTTGATGTTCAGCTTGGACCTGCAGCAGACAAGGGTGACGTGCATGAACTTGCAGCGAGGCACTCAGCTGGTTCCAGGCAGCTTCTGCTGAGCCACTGAAGTTGCGAGCGTTGGTTTTCAGGCAGAGACTGTTGTCGGTGCTGCAGGTTTTCACAGAATCTTTGAGAAGTGGCAGAGGGACTTGGGTGATGAGAGTGTGAAGGCCTCAAGACCCGCGGTGATGACTGCAGCGGAGTAGTTCTCGTAGCTCTGGGACCAAGGACTGGCAGTTCAAAAGTGGTCAGGCTACAAACTGGTTACATCCAGGTGATGGAGGTGCCAGCTTCAAGTTCCACGAGCAGGCCGGCACCAAGTCACCAGGCAGCCGCGCTTTTCCGACACGACCTGCAAAGGATCCCATCCATGCGCTTTCCCATCGGATACCCATGAGGCAGGGTAGCCTGCTGCTGTGGGACCAGCATCTTGGCTTGTCTATGCGTCTATGCTTTCTTTGCATACTTCATGCCGCATCTCCTTTAAGAACATCAGGCGATGCGTTCATGGATCTCGCTCGGGCCTTCAGATCAATTGGATCGCTGCCTTCGAGTCGCTCTGCCTTCGAGGTCCGAATCAGTCTTCGAGGATTCGAATGGCACAGTTCATCAGGGCCTTCAGGCGGTCTCCATTGAGCCCTGAGCGTGCAAGGGCACGAGCACGAGCAATCAGGAGAAAGATTCAGGCGCACCTGCGATTTCTAGCAGGAGTTCATTCTGGCCTGAGTTGTGGTCTTGATTAGGAACGTCGTTCGGCGCAGGGGCTTTAGCCCCTTTTCAAAACCCCTGAACCGCTATTCCACGATGACTTTCTAGATTCTAGTACACAGCTCAGTTTCTAGCCGCTAGCCGCTAGTTCATGGCGATGCCATGGTCGAATTTGAGTCATGACAAAGGGTTTGAAAGTCGGCCATCAACAAACAGAGTGAAACTAAGACGGGTCTGGCCTGCGGGCTTCCTGTGCCATGATCATAGTCTCTGACCCGGCTTGGATTGCCCGGGACTTGCTGATAGCCAGCAGCAACTTAGCTAGCTCGGATTGCGGTATCTTGTGTTCCCCCGACGCAGGCTGCTGGACTCTTGGACACGGTCTCGGATGATGGCTGGAGGGTCTTTGGCTTCGCAGACCTGGACGAGCCAGACCCGTGAAACGTTCAGCCGTGAACAAGCATTGTGATGTAACTTCGACCCGTGCTGCCGCTAGAGCCGATGAGCAACTGGGCATCAGCCGAGCCCCGGACAAGGTCTGAAGCAAGCAGGAAGAGGGATACTCCTCTTCCGGGTGATGGAGCATCCTCCGCTCGTTGGTTTTGACACCGACGCACTCGAACTCGTGATCGCCCGCACCCACTGAGCCACAGCAGTGGCGTCAGCTGCTGGCCAGATATCCTTCCGCAAAGGCGCAGAAACGCAATCCAGCAAGAGCACTGGAGGGCTGAGGCATCTTTCCTTGCATGAACGTCGGAACGGCTGGCCAACCCCAACCGTATCATGCTATGGCTAAAGTGTTATATCTAATTGATTCTGTGCTCCTTCCCCTGAAACTCCAAAGAGGCCAGTGTAACAGCCTAAAGCTTGAGCACAGCCTCGCTGTACAGTACAGAGACACTCGCTCACAGGAAATACTGAGGTATACTGGATGACAGTGGTCTGTTTCACGAGACACTTGGAACAGCTCATGCGTCCTGCTTGCGAAACCCAGTCTACTATAATGCCGAGACCAGCCGATCAGGATCGAGGCATTCGGCTTGAATCTGCAGCCTCAGATTGAAAAGGCCGAAGGATGGAGTCATGAACATGCTGCTGCCATTATGCGGACGATATGCCTCCACAAGAGCCAGTGGGGAAAGACTTTGGCGTGCAGCTGCAGCATTCTGCTGACATGGCTGCTGTCTTTCAGGCACGCAAAAAGGGTGCAGCCTGCTTTCGCTCACGTTTTGCTCAGACTCGCCAGGTCGCCCACACTGCAGCTTTGTGCATCTGGAGCCGGAGCAGGCGCGGCCATGCTGCACATGCCGTCATGCTGCCGCATGGCATCCTAGTAAAGGGAGGTTGTATAGAGTATAGAGCAGTTTGCACTTCCGAGAAAAATACATGTGTGCAGCGCAGGCTTCTGCAAACATGCCAGGCGTAGGTGAGAATGGTGTACCGGTCCAATAAAAATACCAGGGACCTGGAAAGCTCATGTTCACTAGTCACTTGAGCGGTGCCGGGTGAGGCAGGAGGGGCGGTTTGGGGATTTTTGCTGAAGCGAGTCATCCATGCAGCACAACCCGCGAAATTCCACATGCATCTACACCTACCGTTTCATGTGTAGTTGTGAGCAGTGTCTCCTCTGCCATCAGGCATTGAGCCTCGGAGCCCTCGCGGCAAACAGGAAAGCCTGACAAGTGTACACATTGCGAGCTCATGTCGTATAGTACAGAAAATGCGGTGCCCGTCACCTTAGGAGCATTGAATTGCGTCGTGGTCTTCGGATTCCACGGCTGGGATTTGGCACGGGCAGGCCAGGAGGCTCTCGAGACCCAGGGGTCGGAGACTTGACTTTGCTGAGATGCGCAGTCTTCCAGTCAATCGCTGTGAAGAAGGTAGAACTGCAGGAAAAGGGGGGAAAAGAAACTATCCTTTGTTTTCTCGTTCGCGTTACCTACAAAGCCACGAGATTACCGGCATTTGCAGATCAGTGCGGACTCGGCGCAGTGGCACATGCTTTGCCAGAAATGCCGACGTGCATCCCATCATTATTTAACCTGCATTTGCAGGTGGTCAATCCCAGCAGGAGTCAGGGGAACCGCAGGAGCCAGCGAGAAATGCAGCACCAGTGTGGAATGATCTGAAAGCATTTGTTCTTTCGGCATGGCCGCGGAAAGTTGTGAAACGTTGATTGTGAAAAGGTAAGAGTCTGTGTCGCAGCCGTGGGCAGGCTAAGGGTGTCATGGGTGGCTCGTCTTGTGTCCTTCGGTAAAGCTTAGGCTAAAACCTTGCTTTTCGGAGTGATCTCGAAGTTTAAATGTTTGACTTGGTCATATTGGGTCAAGTCGTGCTCACTCGGGATGCGTGCGTGTATGCGTGGCCACTGCAGTCTGAATGTGGCAGGCTGTTGCACTACATGCGGGCACCTTTGTGGGCTTTCTTTTGGGTGATGGACAGGAGTTAATTTGCAGCATCGTTCGGAAGGTAGATTCTTTGTTTTTCGGGGGCAGTTCAACGTTGTCGCGGTGCTTCTGTGCTGCTGCGGAAGCTCAATTGAATCTGCGATCACATCCAGAGCCGTGCGCTGACTACTTACTACTTCCTGTAGCAGGGTTACGTCGAAGGCGGCACACGCACGGCCCAGGTCACGTTGGAGCAGGGTCGAAAGAGACTGGTGGATGCGGTCAACGCGGCTATTCATGCAGGCTATCGGCTGGTTGACACTAGCCTATCCTCAGGCCCGGACGTTATGTAGACATCGACAAGTTCAGGCCGCTGCCTGCGAATTAAACCCGCTCTGTTTTAGGCACTGTGAATGTGTGTGTGTGTGTGGGTGTGCGCGCAAGCGCTAAACCTGAAAGCAGGTTCGCAGCGGCAGCCAGCTTGACAACAGTTGCTTTAATGTTGTGCATGTTAAAGCGTTGTGTTATGTTGTTGGTCATTGCCTGGGTTTTGAAAATCTGCACAGTCCTTGGGCCAGAAGAGCCTTTTCCCATCGGCTTCCAGCCCATGAGCTTCGAGGGCGGCTTCAAACGAAGGTTGGATTCGATGCAACTTCCCAAAGGCTTCCGGGCTGTGACGGTAAACAGTCGGATCGAGCAGAACTTGAACCGAGCGCAGCTTCCTCGCGTTTTTCAGTCCATCACCCTCCACTTTGACAATGACTGGAACCAGGTTCCGCGTCCGACCAACTTCCAGGCCTTTGGTACACCGTCGCCTCGCCGCGGCAGGTATGTGCATGGCAGCACTGTTTTCGAGGCGTTCACCTCCTGCACGGGTCCCCGGGTTTTTGTCTGACTGCTGAATCTGACAGGGGTGTGCGGGATCCCGTGGCATAGCTCGTCCGAAGGAAAATCTATGTTGTTGGGCGGGAAACATACCTGCTAGTGGAGTAACCTTTTTTTTTCGGGCTCACCAGGTGTATGCGTGAGTGGGAGCCAGGAATTACATTGCACTCGGCTGTAAGCGCCAGTGGCGCATCTTTCTGCTGAAGTTGCTGCACGGCTGTCATAACTTGGAGCTAGGTTAGCAGCTCCTGCTGCTCCTTATTTGTCGTGGCACCTTGATTACAGCTCGTTCTTGTGCCTTTCGGGAATCAACACAGGCTTGGGGAGTGGGCTTGTGTGCAACGTGCAAACTGCCGAGAAAGTTCAAGATCCATGATGCTGTAGGTGGCCGTAGGTCGGAGCCGGACATCAGATGAAGTTTCATTGTGTGAGTGGTGTTGGTGTGTCTTGGTCTGTTTCCGCATATCTGCCTTCGAAACCGGGTCGCCGACTGCCCGTGCATCTAGCGCACTCTGGTCATACCACCTTGGGCCCCACTTTGCTTCAGGCATGGAGTCAACCATCATAGAAGGCATTCGGAAGTCTGGCGTGCAGCCGAGCGAAGTTGTCATTGCCACGATGCTTGGCTTGAGAATGTGGCAGGAACATGCGTATAACATTCGAAGGGCTCGCTTTAGTGTCCCATGCAAGTCTTGATCTGTTTCAGGAAGCTGCTTAAGCACGCGCATTCTTCTCCTGCCGCTGTGCGCTCTTCTTTGGAAGATTCCTTGCGAGACTTGCTTCAACTTTGGTGTCAGCCGACAGCCGGGGGGCGGTCCACGTGACCGAGGCAACTTGAAGTGCGATTGCATTGACCTGTACCTGTTGCAGAGCCCCAGAGGCGGCATGATCAGCAAGGTGGAATGAACTCTTGGCAAGATGTCTTCAGAGCCTAGACGGAGTTAAAAACAAGCTTGGCAGTCGAGTACGCTGAGCGGATGCCAGGTTTGGACCCAGCTGCTGGCTCTCCGAGATGCGGGTTTAATCCGTGTTTTGTTTGCATCGATGGCAGACGACAAAACCGAAAGGCAATCGTGCGAAGCCCACCTACATGACTACTGACTAATGGTGACGAGCAACTCAGCTACTGGTAATTGTTTTGCGGGTTTCCCGCTGCACGTTTGACACCGTAAGGTGCTGTGGGCGTGTCTAACTTCGGCGTGCAGCAGCTCGAGGGCATGCGAGCCCAGGCTAGAAATTCGGGTTTCCGTCAGGGTGGGTCCACCTTGGCCCAGGGCTTCTTGTTGTGGCCGTCAGGGTTGGGCGCAAAAGCATCGGCCGCGGGCTTCACACATCTTCGCTTATTATGATGCACGAGTTGGTGCCGACGAAAAGCGTCTCACTTGACATCCCTCTGTACAAAGCATTGGTTTCTGGAATCCTGGGCTCTTCCTGCAGCTCAGTGTTTTCCACATCTTTTCGGAGAAGACGCTGTGTGAGATCATTGTGTTCGTCCTTCGGCATTTGCTTTTGCCTGCAGTCCCCATGGTTTGCACGCCTGGCCATCCCTTGCAAAAATCAGAGAACTTCGACTACCAAAACGAGCACCGCTGCGCTGGTCGAGGAATCTCTGGCCTGGAGCTCCCGGAAGTGAACCAAGTGGAGGTCCACTGCTCCTTGGCCTCCTCTCCTCTCGAGGTTCAGGCTGTTGGGGTGTGGCTCAGGCAGGAGAAATCTCCTGGCCCACGTTGGTTCGTTTCCAGGATCGTATTTGCAGCACCAAGAAGCGCAATGAGGTTCCGAAGGAAAACAGGCGGGGAGATCCGTTTCGTAGCAGGAGGAAGTGCAGTATGGGCGATCATCATTCATTTCTGTACATCTTAACTAGTGTGAGGTGGTGGTACACACCTAAATTGAACGGGCAAGGTCGGGGAACCTGATTCAGATTCACCAAGTCGCCGTCCATAGAAATACAGATGACGCGTTGCAGTCAGGCTGGAGGCAGATGCATGAGCTGACGGCGTACCACCGGACTCATTTTGCTGACAGTCGTGCCATTGCTTGAGTGGGATTGGGATGACATCGGTTCTGCTTCGTGCCCGCAGGAAACACCGAATCGCCACCATGCAGATGGCACCGCTGGCCCGAGGGGAAATGTTCAACAAAACTGACTCACGGCCGAAGTCAAGCAGCATCTGCCGGACGCATGTCCATATTCAGAGGCAGAGCGCAAAGACCTTGGCTTCACGAACGAATGCTTGCATAAGGATGTGGCAAACATCGCACGTGAAGTTGGGTGCAGTGAGGCGGCTGTCGCCGTTCGAGACTTCACTCGTTTATGAAGCTTCCAATTCCTGCAGCACTGCATGTTGACGAGTTCTGATAACAGAAGCAATAAGGATGGAGCATGCAGATGGGTTTCATCCCGCTCCCCAGGCAACGAGCGACCCGTGTTCGGTGTCTGGGAGACATCCACTGAAAGTCAAGCTGATTTGAAGGTCTGTGCGACCGGACCGAATCCGCGAAAATTCAGCAGCAGGCGTTACACTCACGGAGTGTCAAATGGAAAGGACGCGACATGCTTGCTCATCTCCAATCCCGCCTGTTCAACGCAGCCCAGACGCTGCAGGATAGCCAGGGTGGACTCGAACTACACCTCATGCACGAAGGCATCTCCGTGCTCGAGGCCGGGTGGCGTGGGACCCAGGCAGTCTTTGAACGGCGGTTGACCAGTGAGCCTTTGAGAGGCTTCCATGGCCAGCCGTTGCTGCCGACCTGCTCTGCTTCTGATTGCGCACGAAGCAGGTTGTGCAGCTGGCATTTCGCCAGGAGCAAATTCCGGATAAGGCGATGTGGGACGAAAGCAAGCAGCGTAAGGCGTGTCGGAAAACCAAGCAGAGACATTTGCAGCCTTGCAAAGCCGACACCTGGAGAGGCTGAAGCAGCCAAGTTCCGGCAAGAGCGAAGCAAGGAACGAGCTCAGAAGGCCTGAAAGTCTGATGTGTATCATGGCAGGCCATAAGGTTCTCGACCGAAGGATGTACAAATCCCTCGGTTGGCTCAGGCCGTGATGAAGATGCAGCGCCAGCTCGCTTCACAGGCCTTGCATTCCACCAGCCTCTTTCAGCTTCGTATTATTTCGTATTGCATCTTTCGTGGGGCCAACTTGGTGCAGTTTCTCGTTGTCACATCGTGTCTTGTGTGGCTCTTCGTGCTGTCGCATAGTGGCGGCGTGACGTGGATCTTCAGGCTGAAGTTGCAGCTCGCAGGAGGTCAAGGACAAAGCTGTTGGAATGCACTGCAGCTGACAACAAGGGTGGTAACATTGCTACATCACGTTTTGGCCAGGTCTGCCAAAGAAGCAGGCTGAGTGGCGAGCCTCCAATGAGCCCGAAAGGGCTTTGACACGGAGAAGTGTTCATCACGTCGCCAAAAGAAAGAGAGCACACAGACGTTGCCATATCTGACATGTTGCTTGGGGAAGCCAGCACTTTGTTAGCGTCAGCTCGACATCCGGGCTTCGCCTGGTTGGGGAGCAAAAGCATCTCCCGGCAATGCTCAGGCCCCGACTGCCAGCGCCACTTCCTCGACGAGGCAATGTCGGATTTGGTCAGGCTGTCTGGCAGTTCCTTTTTCACCTCGCGAATGGTGTTGCAGCATCTCAGCGTGAAAGGCCGCGGAGGTTAGAGCGAAGGGCCTTAAGGGTTGGACCGTGCAGCTGATACGCTTGGGCACCCGGCGAGTGTCACAAGCCTAAATGGAAGTGTGGGCTGTCAGACCCTCGCCTGAAGCCTGGCATGGATTCGTCCGCGTGCGAGAGTGAAAAAGGATATGAAACGATGTTGGCTGGCAAAGCTTCCATCCTGTAGCAGGAGATGTTTGCCATGAAATCTTAACTTACCCCTGAAAATATCACAGTGCCGAGTTTGGGAACACTATGGAACACCTAGCCTCTTGCCTGAACCACGACACCCTGAATGCCACGACAAGGGCCTAGGACCGATCCACACAAGAAATCGTACTGTGAGCGTGTGCAATTACTGCTTGGGGCAGGTTGACGTGCTGGCCCCACCTTCATTAATCTACGAACCAACCAAAACAACACCTCACCAGACGAATACCTGCGGAGGCTTCCCTCCTGGAGCATATCGCGGCAATTCATGGGCGTGCTCTTTCTGTCCCGGGAAACAGGTGGGAGTTTCCGCTAGTGCAGTGCCTCTTTATAGCTCCGCGTCGCATGGGAGGTTTGGCGGACAATCTGACCAGCTTGATCTGCAGCTCGGGCCGCGCGTGTCTTCATACTCGGAAGATTTCGCGCGAGATTTACTTGTTCATCTGCCTTGTGAATGCAGGGGTAAGCAGCTCCAGGCTTCACTCGTGCTCTCCAGAGAAGCACCCAAGATGTGACGAAATCCTGGAGCACCTTCAGCTGGTATCACTAGGCTGGTTGTTTTTAGCAGAGTTGTGCGGCAGCTGCCCTCTCTTCGATAGCAGCTTCCTTCTTGTGAAGAGAGGATCCTTTTGTGGGATGCTGCTGCCTGAGAAGGGCTTTTTACAGCTATCATTACACTCAGAGTGCTTGCTTCCTTGATTGCTTCGTGAAATTTTCAAGGAAGCTGTCGATTCAGCGGCTTGGTCTGGGAACTGCACACCTTCCTTTCGACTGGATGCTTGACTTAGCTTTGGAGTCGCTTTGGAGCCTCAAATTCTGCTGGAAGACGCCCAGGATTCGGAGCACACAAGCAGGAGTCGAGCGTTTTCTCAAGACCGGCTTTAGCGAGTTCTTCTGTGTGGCACCTGACTAAGTTGAACTCGGACTGTGGCTTTACGGTTTCAGAGCAATGAAGAGCCGATAAGGCCAGGAAGCTGGAAATCGAGTCTGCTGCGTGGCTTGAATGCATGGATCCGCAAAGAGCGATTGTGCTGTAGAGCTTTGGCAAGCGAGTGGTCGCAGAAGGTTGACGGTGCATCGCGGAGAATATCATTCCTTTTGGCACGATGACGTGCGCAAGGGCTTGCTCTAGGGTAGGTGCTGGCATGAAAACAGCCGCGAGAAGATACAATGAAGCAGCCACTCCGCCACGCAGATATCCTGCTTGTGCGGTACTGGCTAGGTCAGCCAAGCTGTGGTGAGAGAGAAGCTACGCCGACGCATTCTCCGATTCCTGGACTTGGCAAAGGGCTTTCGCAATCAGGCCCCGGCCCAGCCTGGCCCTGGCCATGCTTCCAGAGCTCGAGATCGCACACATGAAATGTCGCTAACAGTCGCGGGACGTCCTCTTCCTACGCAGCTGCGCATGCTCCTCCGAGCTCCATCATGTCGAGGTTGGGCATGAGTTTGATGTTTATCAGAGTTCACCCACTTCGTGGTGTCAGCTGTGGAGGATCTCTACGCTGCTCTAACCCAGTGTTTCACATCTGGACAAGAGAACAGGCCCGGTGTTTTGCGGCATAATCCCCAAAGGTGCAATCGGGCATATTTTGCAATTTGACAAGCTATCCATTAGTGCTGCTTGATTCGAGCTTCCGACTTTCCCCGATTCTTGCTGTAAGTCTGATTGCAGTCCGCGGGTGCTGCTGGCGATCATCGTTGATGGCCAGGCTCGATTTGACCTTCCATCGACACGGGGCAACTTTAATAGCAGCTGTGTGACAGTGCCTGCAATCGTGCAGAATTTGCCGAGGAACCACGTCATGTCTTTTTTTGTCCTCAATGCTGCGTCGGATGTTGTTCGAGTGTTCCCTTCTTTGTCTCATCGTGTAGAAGTTGTTTGCCTTTGGACCTTGTCTTGATTGCCCCAGATATTCTCGGTGTGGCCTTGGAATATGTAATTTAGCCGATATGATAAAAGGACGTTTCCTCCTCACATCATGGCATGGCACTGTAGGGGTTGGGCTGCGGAGGGTATGCACTCCCTGGTGCCGGGACGGTCGCCGATTACGTGCGCGTCACCTGTGGAATCCATCTTCACTGCTACGCAGATTGTAAGATCACAGAGCTTTCGGTTGCCATCCCCCAATCTGTTAATTCCTGTCAACTCGTCAGCGCTGGCACGGACTCAAGACGTTGGTCCCGCGATCGTGAGCCAAACCTGGTCTTGCGGCAAGCACGTGTGACTCATTTTGACGTGGCTAGGTACAGCGCCAGGGTCCCATTCGTCATGCTTCACTGCCAGGTTCGGACTGAGTACTTGAATGTGTCATGCCAAAATCTGAAAGTGCTGTTGGGAGGCCTTGTTTTCTTCACGCAGGAGCAACTGAGTGAAGAAGATGGAGCAGATAGTCAGGCAGGGCGATGACAGCACGGGACTAGGCAATGGGTTCACTCATGCCGCAAAGGCATACTGTTGGGCAATTGGCGCGGCCTGTGACGCAGCGCTCTGGGACTGTGCGCAAGGCAAAATCCGCCTTATGCCTCATGCTAGGGTGCTTGTTGTTGAGCTTTGCAAGAAGTTGCGCTCCCGCAACAGGATTTGCCGTTCAGCCCGGTCAACGAGTGGTCAAGAGCGGCACGGAGCTAGCCGATGGTGGACACTGTGGAGGCATGAGCTGTAGATTCTGCTTCAAAAATGGTCGGTATGGGCTGCAGTGATTTCGGGGATCACAGCTGTATACTTGTACATTTCGAAATGCTCAGGCGAATGGTATCCGCCTCTGCAGTTCTGCGAGGCAGGCCTGCATTCAGGCCGATGTTGAGGGAACAGGAGCTGCCCTCTCAAAGCCTAGCTGCATCGGTGCGTGCTCTCAACATGGAGGTTACGGCGTAAGCTGCTTTGAAGCACCCGGAGCAGCACACCTGAACCTGGATGCTGATTGTGGCCGTGACATGGACAATCCGGCGTCCGAACACAAGAAAATGCTGCAAGGGAACAAGGGCGCCTAGAACCCGGAACCTCAACTCGGAAGAGCGCGGAACATCCAGAACACGCAACACCCGAAACAGGCAAGATCCGGAAGATCCAGAACCCAAACACCCGGAGTAGCTCGGACCAGCCGGGCCGGATCCCGGACCCGAATCACGAGCCCGGAACACCAAGAAAACTATTAAATAGAACCTCGAACCCGCCACTCGGCGCAGCAGAACCGATATTCCCTTACGAACTAAAAAATCAAGAAATTCTTAGCACCACACCAGAAATATTTAAGGCTGAGATTGCTTGACTTGATCGTGAACGCTGACTTGCCCTCCGAATTGGTCGTCAATCGGGCAGTGGCACCACCATCCCCGGGGCCTCCCAGATGCATGCTCCATACCGCACATACACTTTTGATAAGATAGGAAAACTCACTACGGTCGGATTTAGAAGATGGCAGCATTATGTAGAAAACTCTTCGCGCTTGTTAAGATGAGAAATCTGGTCCATGAATCTTGATGAAAAGTTTCGACAAATAGTGGTAAGGGAAAAACGGAAAAAAACATTTAGATATCTCATGATGTAGACTACCACTACACTTCACGCCCAGCCCTTGTCTTTAAAAATGTTCGGACATACTGAGTCGTAAATTATGAATAAAAGTTTTGTAATCTTTCGAAAAAGTTTCCAGGCAAAACAGCCCCAGACGATATCTTATAATATAAGAATAAAAAGACTATTAAATTTCAAATCATTTGTGAAAAATAGATTCATAACGATAGATTTCTTTGTAGAAAAATATTGAGAAGAATTTATTTAGAAATAACGTAAGGGATACATAGGAAAATTATTTGGAAAATACATAATAAAATATTCAGATCTTTACAACATATTATTTTATATGGTTTGCGGAATATTGGAAAATCTAATTATTTCCGATAATTTGTACCGTTTATTTCGTCCCGATTATGGATGAAATCGAATTCTTGAATATCGAAATTTTTAAATTGATTTTTTATTGATTTATAATATTTTTGAAAAATTCGCAATCTCGGTTATATTATATATTAATAAAACAAAAAATTATATATATATATATATATATTTATGATGATGTTGCTTTGAAAAAGGTTATCGTATATTTTGGCAATACATTTTTGATTTCTGAATATTGATAGAAGAATTGTTTTGAAATGAAGATTTATTTAATTAATATAAAGGATGGCAAGGTTATGCGGTAATATTTGAGGATATCGGGAATAAATTGAATTTTTCTTAAGATATGATAAATTTTTTCGATATATATTTAATCTATAGAAAATATATCAATAAATTGATATATATATATGTATTTATTATTTTTAACGAATTTATAAGAAATGAATTCAATTTTGAGCATTTAGTAAAAATCTTAAGCTAAGAAAATGTGCGGTAAAATTAAAAGATGATATTCTTAGTTAGATGAATTTCTTAAAATGCTAGTATTTGAGAAATATGTTTTTTAATAATATTTTTATATAAAAAAATATGTTCTAAAATTCGATTACAAAAAAAATAATCTTGGAAATTAAATTTGATAATGTATTTAATAAATAGAATATATATATTCCGAATTCAAAATCTCTAAATAATTGATTTTATAAATATTTTTGAATATACGAAATATTCTTG